AAGACAAGACTTGAGCGAAAAAATACCAACAAAAATTCCAAGATGTTGTCATCAATTAAAGCGAGCGTTGCCAGCAAGAGAGAAAGAGAGACAGAGAGAAAGAGAGAGAGCTGAACAACTTGCAGCAGCATCTTCACACCTGAGAACTTTATTAGTGCAGCCAAGTCAGCGATTGGAATGGGGATTGCGATTCGGATTGAGCTGCTGTTGTTGTTGTTGTTTTTGTTGTTGCTGTTGTTTGGTTTGGTTTGCTGCGTGAATTATGGTTCACCTATGGCCTAGTCCTGCAGCTGGCTGCAATAAAGCAAAGCCAAAGGTAAATGGCGCAGGCGATAAATGCCGATAAATCACCAGGCAGACGAACTCCGATTGGAACACATAACGAGCGCGCGAGAGAGAGAGAGAGAGAGAGAGAGGGAGAGACCCTCTGGAAGCTGAAGGTGGTAAAGAAGCCAAATAGGCGGGTGGACTCCACCCGACGAGAAGGGAAGAATGGCAACTTTGTTCAATTCAGCAGAAAATCCCAAAGAGAGACAAACTTATTTGCATTTGCCTTGTTGTCAGGCCAAGTCCAACTCGTCGTTGTCAGTTGGTTGTTTTCCTTATTGTTGTTGTAGCGATATTTGCTACTGACAGCAAACTTTCAGCAAAAAAAAAAAACGAAAAAAAATAAATAAAATAAAACATGAAAATTGTTGCCCACGAGTCTGCCAAGTACGCGACTCCAACTGCGGCACTGGCACGGAGGTAGATACAGCCTCAGAGTCATAGTCGGAGTCCAAGCCAGGCTCCAGGCTTTTGTTCATCTTGTTAAGGTTTGAACTTTATGCCTGCTGCTGCTGCTGCTGCAGTTGATGTTTGGCTTATTGTTTCAGGCAGAGTTTTGCTTTTGGGTTTTTGTTTTGAGTGCTGCAATTCCAGGAACTTTTCAGGTGGCACAGCATGTTGGGCAGACACACTTTTGGTGGGCCTTTTGCATTGTGGGACACTGTGCCTTCAATTAAAATATATTTAAGCATAATTTCAAGTTGCCCTACAGCGATCATCAACTTCAACTCTCATTCAACCTGTGAATCTTAACCGTTTTCATAATCGGAAAGTATACGCAAATATCGTGTAAACATTAAAATGACTTGCCCTCAATCATTTTAAAGTAATATATATTTTTGATTTTCTGAAACAAATACTAAACAAATACTATTCTTTAAAAAGTCTTAATGTCGCAAGTTTATTTACATAAACGAGTGGATTTTAGAAATTGGCTGAGTTCGTTTTTAATCTATACAAATTAAATGATCTATAAATTTTGCGAATTTTAATTCTGATTTTTAGATAGATAAAATCGATCTAGCTTCCATTGGCGATTATCTAAATTCTATTGCATATTGTTATCATGGAGAACGCTTCATTCGCTGACAGGCATATGAAATCCAATAGACATTGGCTAATTAATATATTATATATCGCGTTTATGTCTGCGCATATTTATGGTCAACACCCCGCCCCATCTTTTTGCTTTTGACGGCTTTTCATCAAAGGAGTCACGCGGCTGGTTGGCTGGTTGACTGGCTGGCTGTTTGGTGCCTGGCGGCTAAAGGCGATGTCGATGGCATACAAATCATCTCGTTCCCGTTGTGTTTATCGGTTGGCCTGCAAATATTTAAATGTTGTTTGCCAAGTTTTTTTTGGGCATGTTTTTAATGTCATTATATAATCAGCACAAGTTGCTAAGAAAAAGCAACAACAAATTAACCAGAAAACAATTTTTGTTTTATTTTTATTTACAACTGCGTTGTAGTAGTAGTCAGACAAAACATAATTGAAATTTAGTTTGTTTGTTAGCTTTTTGCGTAATGTTTCAGTTGTGTTATGTTTTTGTTATGTTTATGAAAATTTATGAGCTTGTCGCGAGTTCAAGCACGAGCACGTCGTTTCGTCGGATTTGCTCAAGTTATGGCCAGCTTTGTTATGGCTAGTGGTTTGTGGCTTGTGGCTTGTGGCATCGCAAGCCCAGATGCTTATCGGCGCAATGTTAATTTCCAGCATTTAAAAGTGTAATTAACTCAATTTGAATTATTAGGCGCGGACAAAAGACTTAGGCAGCGAACTTGTTGCGCTGTGCACGCAGTCCGGGCCCAAAGGAAGCAGGAAACCAATGCCAGGCATGAGAATATTCGCTCATGAGTCACACGGCTCGTGCTGGTCAGAGCCAGACTCGGAGTTAGAGTCAATGCAGAGTCGGGGCCAAGCACTTGACACGTTTTCCTGGAACGCTGCCACTGACTTGCACTGCGAACAGAATTCCTAATTAGCCTGCTGCACAAAGGGCTCTGGTTTGGACGGCGAGGCCGGCCGCCAGTTAGCAGTATTTATGCGTTCATATTCGTTCGCATTTGAGGCATCGATCAATTGTTGTCTGCTCCGATGCTCTGGGTGGCCAACTACCAGTCTTGTGCAGCGCCTCAAATGCGACTATAAATTATTTCTGATATACGTGCCGAATAGCTGATCAGTCCCTTTTGGCCTAGGCCCCAGGCTAACAAGTACGTTGTCACTTGTCCGTGATTCATGGGTTTGACAGCATTGTGCATGTTCTTATCACCACAAAATCAATATAGGTATTTACCTGCACACTGAAAATTGTGTGTATAATGCATTTAAATTGAGATTAATAAACCTCAGGTAATAAAAAAAAACGTATTAATTCAAATTCTCTTTCTAAAATATACAGTTTCAAGTTAAGTTTCACCCTATTTCATAATAATGTAAATTGTTTTACATCTGAATTTATCATTCTTAGCTGACTCAAGTAAATAATGTATTACGGGAAACATCTGAAAACACCATAAAATATTCAAATCCGTGAATAACATTATTAGCCCAGTCAAAAAAAAAACGAAGAATAATTTTCAATACGATAATCATCATTTAAGGTAAATATTAATTTTAATGGCATTATTATATTTATATTTGTTAAACAGATTACCAAGTACTTAACTGATAAGCTCTTTGACATGCTTAATGTTATTTTGAGTAAATTATTTAGAAACTTTCAAAGTTTTGGCTACAGTATGGAGAAATATCTTATCCTAAGTTCAATTAATCACTCAATTTTTTGGTTAAATAAATTTATAGACAGAAACACCAATAAACGACTTAAGTCTTAGCTCAATTACTAAGCGATTTATAAAAGTGAAAAGGTTCTTAGATAACAAAATAATCCTTGGCTGCAGTTTGATTGTGTTGGCCCTGTGATACTAAGGCACCATGCCCTTCGAAAAGGATTTAGCTGAATTAGAGCTCATTTTGTAAATATAAATACATTATATTTTATTATAAAACTCTTTGCAACAGGTGATGTGAGAAGAAAATTAAATAAAACAAGAACTTGCTCATTAGATATATATACATATATGTATATATCTTATTCTTGCGAAGCATGCCGACTCCTGTGTTAAGCAATTTGTTTTGAGCAAGGCTTTCAACTGGCCAAGGCACATCAAATTTCAACGTAGAGTTGGTTCTTTTGATTGTAATGCATCATCTTATTCAAAAAATCTGAAAGAATATTATTAGAGCAATTTTGGCATGGCCTCATTGCCCCTAAAATTATACCTCGATTTTATTACTTCAAAGCAATTTAGCCAATACAAACACCTAAAATGGTGTGTGCACATGCTAGCCTAAAAGGAATAATTAAATTTCGTCGGCACTTTTCCCCAGCCCTCCCCAATCAGCTTCGAACCAAAAAACAAAGAATTGGATTGATGAAGTGTTCGTTTATTGTGTCCTCTATTTGCTTATGGTCTAGACATACACTTGACTCTTAAGTTATTATTGCATTATTATCAACCAAGCTATGTATCGACAACATGAACCAATTACAATGCAGGAGCAAAGGAGCAGTGGTTTTTATTAAGGGCCTTGTCGCTTCACACAAAATACTTGCCAGGCAAGTCATCTGCAAATAGAAACTTCTACATCATGCTATTCACTGAAATGAAATATATACACTGGAAAGGTCATATATAATCCGTGAAGTTTGTATAAAGATACATAAAGAGATACTCGGCAATTCTCTTCTCCCCCCTATGGGATAAAATGAAAATGCTATATAAGAAAATAAATATCTAACAGCAGAGCTCCTCCATAAGGACTTTCTCTTCACGATTTCTGTTATAAATTGTATACTTTTAGGCTTTTTGAAAACACATATTTGCTATCGAAAATAAAATGGGGTTTCGTTGTTTTAATGAGATCCATTTTCAGCTGTCGTTTTGTTTTCATAATAGTCTTTATTAGTTTTTAGGCTTTGCTCGCTTGTGGGCTTCCCCTTTGTCAGTTAGACATTGTAGTTTATAAATTGATTTGGTTATTACAATATAAATTATAGTACATAGGTATGTTTTAATTGTGTGTGGAAAAGAAGTTATACAAGAAGCGTGCCGGCGCTTGAATATTGTTCGTAAAGCAAAAGAATTAACAACGCTTACAAAATTGACTGATTCAGAAACAGAACAATCGGCTTATGCATGTATCTTACAATGGTATTAAATTGTAATTCGTTATTGTTTTATAATTATACTTTTAGCAATGGCCCTTAAGCATTGAAACATTCCATTAATTCATTTCGTTTGCACGTATTTATGTAATATAAATATATGTATGCAAATATATATAGATATAGTTTTAAACGTGTTTTTGTAAAATTTTCGCTAAGCAAAAATGTAATTTATAAATAAATATTTGCATATTAATTACAAATGTAAATCATAATTTCTATTTGTATGTATATTTCTATATAAAATGATAAAAAATTAATATTTTTATAATCACACCAATAATAAACACTAAACATAAGCCTAACTATTGTTCATCGAAGCAACAAATCAATTACGAGACACCAAATTCAACGGCTGCATGAGCTGAACGCACATATTGCAAAATACTATGCGAATTAATCGCTGTGTAAATGTATTTGTATAGTTAAAAAGATTGTGTGTGTTTATTTGTGTATTTGTATATCGTACCAATAAATTTAGACAGAACCAGTTGGCATTCTTAATCAGTATTTCTCTGTTTTGTGAACTGCAACAAATTCGAGTGCTTTGGTCGTAGCGAGGAGCAATCCCCCCACAAGAGTTCTATATAGACTGCACCTATATGACATTTCATACAAACACACATTTCATACAACAAACAGATCGAGCCATTGCAAAAGTGTTGCTCTTTGAATTATTCTCATACATTAATTAACAGCCTACTCCAAATTATTTTACTGCAAGTTAAGATAGTTGTTCAGTGTGTATGCGACTGCATAAATTTGTGTATGTAGAGTGTGTGTGTGTGTGTGTGCTTGCTTATGTGTGTGTGTGAATGTTAGTCGGCTATAATCTAACGACTTTGGCTTTTCGAATGTTGAATTAACCATTGCAGCGTTATGTCAATGTTGTCCTTTTCCTTACACGAAATACTATAACAACAGATTTCCCGATCCTGTATGCTCGACAGATTCCTGCAAATTGATAGAGGATGTAATTAAGATATGACTTCATAGATATATACATATATATATATATATATATATATGATATAGCCAACTCACATTCGCTCAATGAGCCCGGTCTCATCGAGCGCACCGGGAAGATCACGTTTGTTGCCCAAAACGAGCACTGGAATGCCATTCAGCTGCGGTTTATCAAGCAGCGAGTGCAACTCATTCCGCGACGCCTCCAGTTTGTCCAAATCGGCTGCATCCACCATATAACTGAAATATCAAAATACGTGCAATGTGAGCAGAGAGTTGAAAGTGACCTTAATGAGAGAATGGCTTACACAATTGCATTGACGCCGCGGCAGTAACGCTCCCACATGGAACGGAAGCGAGGCTGGCCGCCAATGTCCCAAACCTTAATGGTCACATTGCCATTAGTGATTTTGCGCATGTTGAAACCAACTGTGGGTATCATATCCTCAGCGAACTGGCCGGACTGCAAATTGAAAAAGATAATCAGAATACTTAAGATGTGCTTGTTTAAGAACTGAGATCAATGCGAAGCCCAGGAAAAATAGTTTCTTAATAATTTAATATATTTGCTTTTTAGAACAGTTCCCACAAAAGCGTGTAAGATCGGTGGAAAATTGTTATATTTATATTTTATTATCATTTGACATTTGGGGGAAACCAGTTTCTTTGCTGTACGATAGTGATTTATGTAGAAAAGTGAATCAACACTTTTGTTAAAAAAAAAAATGGTTTCCTTGGGAAATTGATAATAAAAAAATAAATAAATACATCAACTGGTAATCAATATTTTAATGTGGGCTGAACAAAGCCGTAAAATACCAGCTAATTTTTACGCCTGATACTATATATCTACATATATATATATATATATGAGGCAGTTGGTTTCAAGATAAACATTCTGTTTAATTACAGGCAAAATTTGGGACAGCTTAATTTTTTTTTTAATATGGGTGCAGCTTCGAATCCCGATTTGAAGTCTGGAACGCGACTTATCAGTGAATACAAGATGGACAAGCACACACATTGTGTGTGTATGTGTGTGTATATACAAATTTGTTGATGTTGTTGCTGATAATGGCGTCATTTATGCAAATATGCGTTTGTGTTTTTTTGGCCGAAATTTATTGATTAACGAAAGTCAATAAAAATTAGTGCTAAAAGAAGTTAACATGCCGTCCAACAATTAACGCATTGAAAATGAACAGAGAAAATTGAATTTCGATAACTGCGTGACGTCAAAAACAATGGCAAATGGAAAAAAAACGGCGATTCATTTGTCATTTGCTTTAGTTTAGGTTTCTTCTTTTTTTCTCTCCCGATTGCATTGTCATAGACTGCGGCAAACTCTTCCCCCGCTCGGAACAGTCACCGCCCATTTCCACACCATTTCATTGTTTGCAATAAATACTCACTGCAATAACATTGACGAACGTCGTCTTGCCTGAGAACTGCAGTCCGACTAGCGTCAGTTCCATTTCTTCTTTCCAGAAGATGCCCTTGAACCAATCCAGGATTCTGTTGATAAGCGCCAACATTATTTATGCTGTTTTTTTTTGTTAATTTTTTCCTTGCAAATAAATGGCGTAGGCGAAACAGCAGTCGAGTTGTATCGGAACGAGTTCAATTGAACGACTCATTGAACTGAACGGACAAGACGATTGTCATTCATTTCGTTCTTTTAACAAGTTCATGTTATGTTTTTGTTGCATTCAAAATCAATCAATTTATTGTGCAAAACTAATGATAAAATTAAATTGCTTTCAAAATTGAAACAAGCCATGTTTTCATAGTAAAAATATTTTGCGACAGGTGAATTAAAAACTTCAAATTAAATTAACAGCTGCTGGCTCCACACGTGAAATCGGAGCAATAACCAGTACCAGCTGTTATTTAGCAGAATTAAAGTTATCGATGTCAAATATCGAACAAATAAGATGATTCTTAGTATTTACCATTGTGAATGGCAATTTGCAGCATGAGACAAACTTATCGGTTAACCACCACAAACAGGAAAATAAACAATAGCTAAAAATGGTAAGTAAACGTTTAAATTTATCAACTGTAAATGAAATATACAACAAATGATTACTTTTAGGCAAGAAATGCGGAGAAGGCAATGTAAGTGTGATTTATAAATGATATAATTCGATTCGATTCTTAATTGTTTGCCTCTCTTTGCACGAAGGACAACTTTGGCGCGTTGGCGAGCCGCCAAAGAAGTCGAATCCGGAGAAAAGGAACGCCGGCCTTATCTCGCCTCCGAGTGCCACGACCTGCCCAAATGCGAGAAGTTTCGCCTGGAGATAATTCGTGAAATATCCAAGAAAGTAGCACAAATTCAAAACGGTAAGTAAAACTGGCATCAACGTAATGCGCTTCATATACGAAACAATCTTTGCAGCCGGTTTGGGTGAATTCCGCATACGTGACCTGAACGATGAGATCAACAAATTGCTCCGCGAGAAACGGCACTGGGAAAATCAGATATCGTCGCTGGGCGGGCCACACTATCGCCGCTATGGCCCCAAAATGTTCGATGCCGAAGGACGCGAGGTGCCCGGCAATCGTGGCTACAAATACTTTGGGGCTGCCAAGGATTTGCCAGGCGTGCGCGAACTTTTCGAACAGGAGCCACCACCGCCGCCGCGCAAAACACGCGCCGAACTAATGAAAGATGTAGACGCTGCCTACTATGGCTATCGCGATGACGAGGACGGAGTCCTCATACCTTTAGAGGAGAAGATCGAGCGCGTCGCACTGCAAAAGGCGGTGCAAGAATGGCGCGAGAAAATGGCTCGCGATGGCCGCATCATTGACGACGAGGAGGACGACGACGAAATCTATCCGCTCTCGGGGCCAGCAAGGGAGGCTGCAGAGGATGCCAAGATGCGTGCCGCCGAAAACGATCCACTGGGACTGCTGGCGCCACGTTTCACTGCCCATGTGCCGGTGCCCACGCAACAGGATGTGCAGGAGGCGCTGCTGCGAAAGCGCAAACAGGAGTTATTACAAAAATACGCAGGGCTTGCAAATTAATTAAGTTTTAATTAAACGATCAAATTAATACATTTTGGATTTCATATTGAAAATTATCCAAATCCTCCTTTGAACTATCAGCAATATCATGATAGCTTCTGCGTAAACTATAAATTCAAGCGCTTCAGTGCGTTGTCCTTTTTGGATTACAACTAAATTGTTTATGTCCTTCATGGCAGAATACAAAGTTTGTTAAAAAGTTTAATAACGATCACGACGTCCACCCCCGTGGCCTCCACCACCAAAGCCACGTCCTCTTCCGCCACTGCCGCCGCCTTCAGCAGCGCGACGTTCCTTCATGGCCGCAAAGCGCTCGGACATGCGCCGCAGCTGCTCGGGCACTTCCTGGTCGGCCTCTTCTAAAATCGTAATCAGCTCCTTGGCCATAGCCCAGTCTTCGCGTGTAATGAAGCTAATAGAGGTGCCCCGGCGTCCAGCTCGGCCCGTGCGACCCACACGATGTACATACTCCTCAATGTTGCGCGGAAAGTCATAGTTGATAACATGCCTATGCAAAGGGGCAGCATGATTAGTGATACTACAATCAATGATGGTGGTGGTAACCATAACACCAATGCAATCAAGTTGGACTCACGTTATGTCCTCAATGTCCAGACCACGTGAGGCCACATCTGTTGCAATCAGAATCCGTACTATGCCCGATTTAATATCGGCAATAGCCTGCTCCCGATCTCTCTGCTCACGATTGCCGTGAATGCATTGCGTGTCGAATCCGTCCAGGGTTAGATCACTGGATAGATCATCGGCGCGTGCCTTGCGGCCGCAGAATACAATGATTTTGTCCGATTTGGCCATGTTCTTCACAAACGATCTGAGCGCTGCGAACTTGTCCCTTTCATCATCCAGCAGTTCGATCACCTGCTGCACAGAGTGGGTGGCCGCCAAGTCTAAAGAGCCCACGCACACCTGTATGGGATTCTTCATGTAGCTCTGGGCAAGACGACGCACACCCGGCGGCCAGGTGGCCGACGTCATTATTGTCTGCCTGTCCGGGCGAATGTCGAGCAGAACCTTGCGTATCTGCGGCTCGAAGCCCATGTCGAGCATACGATCCGCCTCGTCCAGCACCAGATACGTAATTGTCGACACATTGATAACGCCCGCCTGCACCAGATCATTTAGGCGACCCGGCGTACAGATTATAATCTCTGCGCCGCGTTCCACATCGGAAATTTGCATTTGACGACTGCCGCCGCCATAGACGCAAACACTGCAACAAAAGAATGTAGATATAATTATTTAATTAAAAATGTAAATAGAATAATTTAGAATTATTCGACTCACGCTTTCATATTGCGAAAAGAATACTTTTTCACCTCCATTTCGATCTGGAGAGCCAGTTCGCGAGTGGGCGCCAGGACTAAGACATTGGCACCACCGCGTGTGCCGCGTGGCGTGCTTTGGTACTCGGTGTGAATCATGCCGGGCAGCAGGAAAGCGAGCGTTTTACCGGTGCCTGTCTGGGCAATGCCAATCATGTCGTGGCCCTTGAGCAGAATTGGCCAGGCCTGCGACTGGATGGGCGAGGGCTTCGCGAAACCCTGCTTCTGCACTTCGGCTAGCAGATCGGGATACTCGTCAAAGCACTGCTCGAAACTCCACACGGGATTCGGAATTGCTGGCAAAGTTTCTCCCTCCTTCGCCTCGAACACGTGCGCAACGCTGATGTTGTTGTTATTGCTGCGAATGCGTGCCACTTCGGCATCCGACAATTGGGCCACCTCGGGCCACTCCTTGTAGAAGTTCTTCGTCAATGGTGGGCATTTGGCCCAGCGTTCGACTTGTGCTTTTTCCTGGCAATAGATTCAATAAATAATTCCAGAATCTCAAAAAACAAGTTGCTGCTTAAATTAAATAAATTTCATATTTCAATTCTTCCCCAAAATATATTATTATTGCTAGCCGAATTTAATACTTTTTGTGTGCAGAAATAACTTTTAATTTTAGAATATTCTAAAACAAAATAAAAACAAAAATTAATGAATATCTTAAGCAAGCCGAAGATTAAATACCCCTGCAGATAGGTGACAATCTTTCGACTATAAATTAGGAAAAACCGACCGACTGTGCCTATAAAAGCTATACGATCTAGTAGCCCAATGACGATTATTTTTAGCACACATTTTTGGAGTTTGGCTCAGATACCTTGGTAAACAAAAAAGTTTCTCATACAGGAATTGATTTTTCGACCTGTTTTTCCTATGGAAGCTATATGATATAGTAGTGCGATGATGACTTGTTGGGCAAGTTTGGTTTATATATCTTGGTAAACAAAAAAGTCCATAAAACACTCATCTCTCGACGGATGGTTCCAATTTAGGCTATATTATATAATGAGCAAAAGGAAGTTTACAAGCCAAGTTTCACAAAGAAAGCTTCAACAATGTGCAATTGGTTTGCATAGACGCAGAAAAAAAGGAGGAACGACTCGGTTAAAGATACTGATCTTTATGGGGTTGCTACAAACTTCACGACAAAATTATAATATACCCCTTGCACTTACCGAGGCTTTGTTCAGTGCCTCCCAATCGATAATGCCGGTCAGATCGCCACATTCTGGAATTTCCATCGGTGGCGCCGGTGTAAAATCATAGCTGGAAACGCCAGATCCATCACTAGCTGCTCCATATCGATTATTGTCTCCGCTAGAGCGACTATAGCCTCCTCCAACATCGCCGCCATATGATCTCTCTCGGCCGCCGCCGCCATCGCTGTTGACTTGCTTGCGCAGCTCGTTGATAGCATCGCTAACGTTTTTTCCAAAGTTGCCGGAGACTGTGACAATCAGCTCGACCTTATCAACATTGATGTGGACGGAGTAATCGTTCTGAATGCGTATTATATTCGAGCCCCCGCGACCAATAATGCGCCCCACCATTTGGCTTGGAATCTTAAGCGACTCAATGAAGGCGTGGGCTGTACTCTTCCCAGAGCTGGCATCGTGATCATAATAATTATTGCGACGCTTGTTGCTGTAGTTTTCGCGATTATCGCCGCTTCGACGTCCACGTGAATATTCGTCACGTTCGTAGGAATTAAAGCTTTGCTTGTACGAGGACTGTGGGTATTTTGCTGGTTCCCCACTGTCCCAGGATAATTCGGACATTTTGAAAACGGAGCTTCGCTCTGAATGGTCAACGTTTTTGCACTGTCAGCGAAAAAACGGTAAATTTCTTTAGCAGAACAGGGCAAATTGCATGCCTAACAAATCAAAGTAGCAATAAGTGTTTTATGTTATATACAACGTAACGGTACTGTGCTGCAATCGTCAAATTGATTATTTTTATGAAATTAAACTTACAGTTATTCCGACAATGTTTAATTCTAAACACAAGTCAAATGGGCGCTCGGAACAATTGCGATTATTTTTTCTGGTTGCCAGGGCTGATACGGTTCACAGACAGGGCTACATTACATGGCAGATGAGTGTTGGGCAGTGTTCAACAATTCTGAAATGGCGCCAAATTTGAAATGAAAGTCGGATTGATATTTTGGTTACTTTTATGTTTTCTATTTACTTAACGCACGTGTTACACTTTTTGGGTGTAGAGCCTTAACTTAGAATTCTTAACGACTAAACCAAATGAATCAGATTGCATTCAACTCTCTCTCTTTCTATCTCTTTCTCGCTTTCGTTTTCGCTCTCTTCTCACTTCTGTTTATAAATAACTAAAACTAGAAAAACACAAACACAAAACCAAACAATATGTTGCAATTATAGATTGTAAACTGTGACTGAGTGTGTTTGCGGGTGTATGTGTGTGTGTGTGTGTGTAGGTGTACGTGTATTTGGGTGGCTGGGAACAGTAGTTGAATAAAACTTAGAACAGTTTCGATAATAGCAGATAGTTTGCTTCTTTCTAATTAAGATATGGACTTGGGGTGGTTGTTTTAGTGGGGTGGTTTGGTTCATTCTGTGGCAAGGTAGCAGAAACATTTGCAGTGCGATTCAAAAATGTCATTGTAATTGTATATATATATATAAATGTATATATATATGCATATGATTATTTTGTTTGTTTACTATGTGTATAGTTAAGAATTGCTTAAACATAAATTATACTAAATTAAAAATTACGAGGTTTTTAAACAATTTATAATAGCAGCACATTACAAGTGGATACTTTTCGATTATAGTTCTTGTTTCAATGTTTTCTCTTTCATTGTTTTCATTTTTTCATTGTTTCTCTTTTGTGTTCATCTCAGGGATCTTAAATACATTACAAAAGATTTACAATTACAAATTAGACTATATATTCCATGGTTGACCCCAATTTGATACTAAGCACATATCGCTTTGCTGTTTTTGTTGCTGTTGTTTCTGTTTTTGTTGTTGTTGTTGTTATTTGTTAGGTACAAAATATACACGCTCAGTGACTGGTTGCAGTGACTGCTCCTTTGCTCTGCTTGCCAATCCTGATCTCTGTGTGTGCATATAAAAAACAAGTATGCATCACACATACATTTCTATTTTACATTCACAGCTGAGGGGCGGCGGCGTCTTCGTTTTCGTCGTCGTCGTTGTCGGAGACGCCTCCGTGTTGCGAATCAATCACTCGACGTGGATACCATCACCAGATTGTTGCTGTTGCCATCGATGGCATCGCTCGCCTCACAGCTGGGCGTCGCCGGTGTGGCATTGTGTATGGATATGCAGGATATGGATTTTGGTATGTCTGCCGTATAGATGGACTCCAGATTGAGCCTCAGTTTGGCGGGCGAGTTGCGCTTGAATAGCGCCAGTGGCCTCGTTGGCGACAGCAGTGCCGGTGTTGGTGGCACCTCCGCTAATGATGTAGTTGCCGTATAGCTGCTGCTGCTGCTGCTATTGCTACTGTTGCTGCTGTTGCTGTTGCGATTGGATGCACAAAACGACGTAGATACGGAGTAGATGCCGCTGCTGCTGTTCGAGCATGGCGAATCCAATTCGGTGGCCGGCGCCGCCGCTGCTGCTGCCGACGATGCCGATGTGCAGGGCGTCTCATCCGGCGTAATGGGCGGTGAAGTGAGACGTGAGGAGCAATTGCTGCTAGCGCCGCTGTCCACATCATCATAGTCATACACATCCTCGTCCATGGCCTCGCTATCCGATTTGGATTTGCGTGGCAGTACACGCTGTTGTCCCACCTCCGCAGCTGCCTCCAGTTCGGGCTGTTCCACAAGCTCTTCTTGACTAGTTGTTGTTGTTATTGTTGTTGTTGGGGCTAACGCAAGCGGTTGAATGTTGTTGCTGCTGCTGCTGTTGCTACTGCTGCTGCAGCTGGCGGCTGCTGGCAGTGATGCGGGTGGCTGCGGCGCCAAAATGCCACTCTTGCGCAGTCCCTGCTCCAGTTCCAGCAGCTGGCCCATAAAGTTCAGATTCGGGGAGATGATCGGCCGTGCCACTTTCACCAGCTTGTACGCCTCCAGCAGCGACAGCGATTTGTATCGCATCACGTACGCAATCGCGATTGTGGCACTGCGCGAGATGCCCGCATGACAGTGCAACAGGACGCGTGAACCAGTTTTTCGTGCATCCTCTGAAAAGATGCAGAAGATGGGCGAAAAATTAGTCATTTTGTATTGCAATTAATTGCTTATCATCTAAGTTTTGATGCTGGAATGCTGATTTGCATAAATAATAAATAAACGACAATCAGATGCGCCAATTGAAAGCACATATATAAATATTTCCACTCGTTTCTAACGGCTGCGCAATGCTCTGTTTTGCAAAAGAAATGTGTGTGTGTGTATTTTGGTGTATTTAACTTTGTTTGTTTGTGTGTTTTCAGCATCTGCAATAATCCAAGAAAACAAACTTGATGACAAATGCTGTGACTAGATTTTTTCAAAGAAACAATAACTTTTATCTCGGCTTGGAGATGCTTAGTAACTCTATAAATTTCAACGTAAAACTAACAAATCAGAATATTTGTTCGCTTTTGGGCTTTCATGTGATAATTTGTAATATTTCTCTTGGAAATTCTAGCAAATTGAGTATCTCTGCTATGAAATGAGAGATTTTCTCTACGTTGAATGTGAGATTTTCAGAGGCCAAGAATCGCAAGACTCTATCTAAAGTAGCATCCAGCAAGCCGATAAACTCTTTTTTGCTTTTGCAGTGTATGCCATATAAAAAAGAATTGAAATTCAAAAGCAACTTTGAAAATTCATCGACAACACAGAATGATTGCTGTGTGTCCGTCCGTCCGTCCATCGCGTAGTCAACCTACGCGATGCGCTCTGCTCTCACTCTCTCTCTCTCTTATTCTCTCGTTTGCGTTGAGCACACACAGTTAGTTTGGGAGAAACTTTTTTGCCCCGCGGGCTTTTAAGCTTTGATGATGTTGCTGTTGCTGTCGCTGTCGCTGATATTGGCGTTCGCTTATTCTGCTGTCGATAATTGCCGTTGTATTGGTGTATTGCTCTCGGCCAATGCGCGCGCGTGTTTGCGTCTGTGTGTGTACTGTTTGAATTTGCTGTGCAATGGATGAGTCATGCTTCCTAAAGCGCTTTATTGACAAACACACAGCGTTCGAGAATATTTATACACGCACACACATATACACACGCGCACACACATATTAACTCATAATTTACGTTGTTATTTTTGGGCAAGATAAGCAACAGCAGCAAGCAAAAGCAGGCAGCATACGCAGCTCCCTATTTTTTTTTATTGGTTTTCTCGTTGTTGCTGCTTTTTTATGATGTTTTTTTGTGTGTGCCTGTGGCTATCTAATCATAGCGCAGAAGGTCGAGCTTGGGGGTTGAGAGCCTTGCAGTTCCTAATCAATGATTACTCATCTCTATGTACTTATATACATATATATATATATATATATATACATATATATGTATGCATATATGACATGAAATAAGTCAACACTTGTCTGATTTCCAAACAACGCGCTTGATAAGCAGCGTACTGAGCCTTGTAGTCAGTCAATTACAATTAGTCATCTGTTGCTGCCAGCGGACACTTCGCCTGGCGGGCGCCACTCCCCCAAACTCCCCCCCCCCCCCCACTCCCATTAAAATAAGCAAGTGTTGACGTGCTGTTATCAGTGATAAGCTATATACACGCATGCGTGTAAATCCAAGTCAATAACGCCCAGAAAGTTCGAGTGGCCTGGCAAAAGAAGAGTAGAAAACTTACACACAAAAATACACACACACACACACACGTTTCATTTATCAATGAATGAGTGGTGATAAGAAAACATGTCCACTACTAATGCAACGGTATTGAATGTGTTCCTAATGCTTCAAAATATGCTTCAAGTGCTTTCCAATCCAGCCAAATTCAAATCAATTTAGTTATCACTTATCAGTATTAAACTGATAGCCATAAAGGTAGTCAGCAAGTTAAAACAAACAATGATTTGGCAATTACAAAATGTGGAAAATCCATAATGAATAACTTAATAATACGCGTAATGCACCATTTGCGATAGTCACTTCAAAAATTTCGTTTTTTTTTTGTTTTTGTAATTTTTTCTTAACGATTTTGTAATATAGAATTTATTAAAACCCTTTGGAATCTCGATAATACCTTTTGGAATAATAATAGTCGATAATACATTCGTGCATCTTTTTTTATAGATCTTTCTGCAATTAAATCTTTCTCAAATGTAGACTATTTAAAGTCAAGTTTTGTTTGCACTTGTGAAAGATTGTCTATGCTATATAATATGACTACTAGAAATTATTGACCATTACGAAGCATTCCAATTAGCGAGCGGGCCGCTGTGGAAATAAAAAAGATTCCACATCAACTATTAAAAAAGTGCGTCAGTTTCCGTTTATAAATGCTTAAATCGGTCGACTTCGCCACACTCTGTTCTAGGCTTGCCGCCAAAAATAACCACTCTCATCAGAGTGTGAAAGACACAAACATACCTATAAATATAAATATATACAAAGATATATATATGTATCTATGTGGATATATATTGTGTCTGTCTGTGTATCTTTGTCGTCAGCAGACAACTGGTCACCGTGCTCATGGCACTCATAAATCCTCCTTAGTTAATGACCCCGTCGCTCAGACAGTTAAAAAAAAGCGCTATAAACGCGCCTGTCGCATTTCTGACTCATTCTCATCAGGCATTACCCACAGACAGTGGGCCAACTTCCCACCCCACGTCCCACATATACTCCCTCCTCCCACCATCATCACCACCAACTCTTGGCCTAGGCAAAAGATTTACCAAGTGAGAGAAAGACATGCGAAAGAGCAGAAAACTTGCAGAACAACTTGATTTTTTTCACGCGACCGCTAAATATAGTGAGATCATTTGTGGCCGACTCATAAATTATAGACGAATTGTTGTTAACATTAATCATCGGAAGATAAGGATAATACGAATGGGAGAAAACCGAAACTATTAAATCAGCTGATGGTGGAGTACAATGAAGTATATACTTTGCCAATCACAGTCAGGTGCTTTGTTTAACTGTAAATTGATTATATTTTGATCAATGTGACATGACATAATAATATGGATAGGTATACCGATATTATCAATAGGATCCTGTAATAATTTATCAACTAATTAACGATAAATTGAAAAAGAGTTTAAAAAAATGTTATTAATATAAGATGAGCTTAAAAGCCATTCTAGACAATGTTCTAGCTATTTCACATCCTCACAAGCCACATGCATCATATTGCTTAAAACGGAAACCTGACTCAAACTTGGCTTGAAGTGGCAACAAAAAAAAACATTTGGTTAACGGACGGATGATTGGGAAACACGTTTAGTTGGTAATTGGCGCTTAGTTGGCAACAATTTCAAATGTATGCTCGATGCGCTGAATGTGTAATATGCATGAATGTCTGTCAATGTGTCTATGTGTCCCATTGGTGTCGGCGGGGGGGAATTACTAATCATCAATTACGGTGCGACACTTATGACTAAACGCTTGCCGCATAGTCCATCGATGAGTGTCATTCGGAATGTTTTTTTTGGGGAATTGTCGTGTCTATTAGTAAAACACATTCCCTGCCACCACTCATAGGGCGGCCGGCGTGACTCCATTTTCGGGGCGGCAAATGTGATGATGCGTAATGCCAACTTTGGGTAGCCAAAGCCGTGCGACCGTGCGACCATGCGCCGATTGCCGATGATTAAGTGCAACAACAGCAGCTGTCTGTGACGGTGGCGTCGCTGGTCGGTCGCCTTCTTTAGGCCGCGGGTGCGTCATTGCGTCAGAGAACTGGGCCAACCGACAGACAGACAGTCAGACAGCCAGATAGACCGACCAGTGACTTTGTTCTCATTGTGAAATCATTCTCACTTTTGCCGATGATGATTAAGAAAGCAAGCCAAAGGGTCAGAGTGATTACACCACTGGGTACCTTGCAACAGAGCGAACTCCTCCCGACGTCTGACTCATGGCCCGAAACAGTAATAGCCGGCAACATGATATCGCATACGTGGGTATGTTGTGCATGTTGTGAATGGGGCAGGCAAGGCAACAAGTAGTATGTTTGTTTGTTTTAAAATATTTAATTACTTTCGAGTCACTGTTGTTTTTATCATTTGCTGACGCTTACTCACAACTCAGAACTCAGAGCAGCTCATCAAGCCGCTCAAAGTCCGTGCTGCAAGTAATCGTTAGCAACTAAGCAGGTGCTGCACAGGATGCCGTCGTCGTCGCTGCTGCCATTGTTGGGAATCATTGAATCATGAATCATACGGCGCTCAGCGCTCTGAGCCTCGAGCTTGACCTTCAACTTGACAAATGATGACGACGACGAGTCATACGGAAACAAAGCGGGGCTTCAAGTCCGACTTCAAAATCGCTGCCTGCACTTTGATGTTTTGCCTTCAACTCGATAAAGTGGGCTGTATTCGAACACTGATGTGGCACGACTTGTAGATACCCTGTACACAGCGATAGCACATAATCGTAATATTGATTGACATAACTATATCAAATATACGTTTGCTGTTCTAATCAGGATTGTATTTGTAGACTTTTATGGGGGTATCAAAAAAAATATATATATTTATCTATCAAGAGGGGAAAGGGGTCTTGTAAATATGTACATACTGGCATATATATATATATATTTCTCTTTTAATATCTCACCGGCATGGGAATTAAACTCGTGATATTGTGATTCATAATACGCGAAAAGTTTTCGTAAACAAATTGAAGAATTGCGCAGGCAGCTCCATAGCTCTGAGTAACTCGTCCGATATGGGCGTAGGCGGGGGCGTGTGTTCCTTGTAATCGCGTACAATGTATGATGAAGTGTTTTTATAATTTTCTTGCGCATTTCTCGTGCGCCCGGCACAACAATCCGTTCGAAAATTTCAAAATTCCTGCACACAGAGATTTGTTTTCTTGTTGTTGTTTTCTTTTCTTTTTTTGTTTTTTTTTCTCGATTTTTTTTTTGCATTTTATAAATAGCACGCTGACGAATATTGAAATTATGTGCACGGGGCCGACGAAAAATGTCGCCTCGAGGCCGACGGTCGTCAACGTCGGGTTAGTCACCCAAAAACAAAAAAAAAAAGAAACAACAAGTCTCGGGATAGTTTTGGGCACAGGATTACTTGGAAAGCGTAACGTAACGCAATAGAAATTGTTTAGAGCACTCAGTGCAAGTAAACTTGACTGGGTTATGTTCCTTCCTTTTTTTTTTTAGTTTTATCTAATCGACTTGGTGGTGGTCGTCAGACAAGTCTGATAAAAGTTCTCTGCCTGTTGCTATATACACTCATACATACATTATTATCAAGAAATAAAAAAAAATAGATAGCATTTGAGCTGGAGCAAAAAAAAGGGGAGGGGGAAGGCTCCGATTCGAGTTTGTTTAGCTGTGCGTCAACTTTGCGGCCAACTGTTAACTGTTAACTGTTAGTGCAGCTCAAAAGAGGCCTCTGTTGGCTGCCAGATAGTACCGTTGATAAGTTAACTGCACAAATATGTATACCTAATCTATATAAAATTGTGTGCTCACATAAATATAAATATATGCACAGATGTATGTATATATGTAGCTTTAGGTACAGTCTAATCAGACAGGGTGGCGTTACTTTCAAATTGATTGGTTTGGTTGGGCTGGGTTGGTTTGGGTTGGTTTATCGGCGGCCTGCCGTTGCCTTGATTGCTTTCTAGGCCAAGTGGCCGAGTCTTAAGCTCATTTACCTATTTATGCTCAACTATTGTTAATGACAAAAGCAAGTCAGGCAGGCCGGCAGGCAGGCAAAGCATAATGAGACATGAGCAACACGACAATTCACTCACCTAATGAGACAGAGAGCTTTCAAGCTTCACTTAGCGGTGCTTGCTCCCTTCTCACTTGCACACACACACACATATATATCTACACATACATAATGTGCTGTTATATTATTATGATGAATGAACGGACGGACAACAATGAGAAATCATAAGTACTATAAGAGAAATACAGACAGACAATCATAAGAGTAATAATAATAAGCATAAGGTGACGACGGAGCCAACAACGAAAAAAACGAATGCGCAAAAGGCAGGCAGGCAGACAGTGGCGGCGGCGCTCTACGATGCAGAGGGGGGCCGGGCGGGCAGCGGCAAAATCATGACTCATAGCACTCGTGCACAATATGTATGGATATATTTATATATAAATGTGTGTGTGTGTATTTTTTTCTTCTTTTTTTTCGTGCCTGAGTACTAATGTGTTTTGGCAGCACACACAGAGCAAGACAGACTGAGTTGAGCGAGTGAGCGAGGCGAGTGAATGGTGGTGGTGAGACGGAGAATCTGGTGTGAGATGGAAGATGTGGGAGAGAGTGGTGAGAGAGTGCATGGCGCAGTTAACAGTCATAAAAATAATACACACTTGAACACGTTTTACACATGAACAGAAGGCGGATAGGAGGGGGGAGGGGATTAGGGAGTGGGTGTTGATCTGCTAATATCTTCCTGACACATTCAAGACAAATGATTATGGAAGATGATCAAGCGAAAACAGCTGTTGATGTTGCTGTTGCACGCACCTGAAAGCAACAGAAGCAGAAACAGCAGCAGCAGCAGCAACGACGGCGGCAGCTGGCCGTGACGTCAACGTTGGCATTGGCGAGGCCACGCACAAGGATACCGCGACAACGACGATGACTCATAAACAGGAACTGCACGATGGCAGCAGCAACAACAACAACAACAACAACGTCGGGTCGTCATCGCCGTAGCCGTCGTCCTGAGCGACGTGCGCTTAAAAATAGAACATATGCCAATGAGCAACGGCAGCTGGCGGGGGTGGGTGAAATGCTGTTGGCGGCAGCACAGCGCAATAAATAGCAACAATAAGACGAGAAAATCGATGCGGCTGGCTGAATGCTACAAGGAGTGTGCCCCTGCTGTGTGTGTGTGTGGCTGTGTTCCACATTGCACTGCTAGCGATGCCGGCGATGAGTCATGCGACTCAGTCTACAGTGGCGGTCACAAAATTACAAACACATCAACAGTGTCAGGGGTAGGCAGTAAGGCGAATGGAGGCAGAGGCGCCAGGTACGCATTGACAACCCTTATCAGACAAGGACGCTTGCGGTTGTCGCTGCCAGCTATCATAAAAATAAAATCAAATAAAAAAAGGCGAAAAGAAAGTGTAACTCTCGAGCTGGCTGGCAACGTGTCGTCGCCTATTTATGCAAAAGCGAAACACAGGAGCAGCCCGGTCGCAATTGTTGGCGAAGTCAGAGCCGAGTCGCAACGACGACTTCGACGACAAACGATGACGCTGACGACGATGGCAACGTTGTCGCAGCCGCCATGCTGTCTGCCAACGCCAACACGCAACAGCAAAAACAACAACAACAACAGCAACAACAATGGCAACAATGACGTCGGTTTGACAACGAACGTTGTGGAAAGCAGCGTAGGAGCTGGAAAAGGACGGGGCTCGACACGAGCAACTTTGCCGGTCTGTTTCAACTCTTTGGGGCAGACAATAAACATTGCAAAAGATTTACACACCACCTCAGTCTACCGGGTAATAGACACATTGTAAAAAAATTCATGGTAAAAATATAAATACGCCATTAAAGATTAAATTAAAGATTCCACGAAAAAAAAATGTACTAATTTAAATATAAATACAAATGCGAGTTTCCAGCTAAATACGCGGTAAGCTCGCTGAATAATATTTAATTTCAAATTGCACAACCGAGAAAAATTCCACTTATTATAAATTGAAAAAAATTACTATATTTTAAAGTTATAGCTGAGTCGTATTGTATTTTATTATTAGCAAAACTATTACAATTTCGTGTTTGTTTTTGTAATCACCAAAAACAAATTGTTTATGCTAATTTGACTTTATTCTACCTAAAATGTCAATCAAACTCGTCTGAAATTCATTTGTAAATTTTGGCAAATCAAAAATGAATTTAATACGAACACAGCAGAAAAATGCTCAGCTCTTTTGCGGACACGTGCCGCGACTCGGTGAGCTATAAAACTAGTAACATGTACAGCAACAACAACAAAAAATAAAAATACGGACAAAAACAAAAACTTAATACAGAAATAAATAAAAATTAAATATGTACAGAAGCGTAGAGAACAACTTTTGCCGCGAGAAAATGAAAATGGAAAAATGCGATTGACGTCAGCAAAATATTCCACGGCTATAGATACTATGACCATACACAAAAAAAAAATATTTATATATATACAGACACATGCATAAGTATTACACTTAAAATTAACTAAATATACGAGCTTCTTTGCATATGCCTTGAAAAATATCAACAACGAAAACTGCTTGTGATGGCAGAAAAAAACACCAGACAAATAATAAGAGAGACCTCGACTAGCAGATACCCTAAACACAAGTCCTTCACTAATCTTGTCTCAAAATTTATACATCTAACCCAACAAACTGAGATCGTCACATTCATAAGGACAGACAGACAGACAGACAGACAGACAGACAAAAACTTCCTCCTTCATTTTGCACATTTCCAGTGGATTCAGGTTATACACAAATGAAAACAAAGCGAACGATAAAACAGCAATAAAACAAAGCAAAGCAAAACGAATTTAGTGAACCTAAAAAAAAAACCGTTATGCAAAGAAACCTTAATATACAACAACAACAACAGCTCATGCTACACAGGCCCACTTTAGGCATCCAATGGCAAGTCACGTTTTATCAGCCAACTATGGATGACTAGGCGCAAAAATATATATTATGGCTTAAATGTATGCAAAAAGGCAACTACGTCAATGGCTAGTTATCGATTAGGTGGAACACTTACCAATGAAATCGAATGCCTCCTGAAAATATTGCTTAATATTTTGATGGGGCGTATCGCTGGCAGGTATTTGCATATACTTCAGGCCCTGCAGATGATTCTCGCTGGGACTTTGGCAGGTAACATTCAGCACACAATTGGCGCCCACGCTGCTCGGATTGTTCGCATCGCGGCCATTGCCCAGCAGCAGATGCGGGAATACTGGCGAGGCGGGATGTGTTTCAATATCTGAAAAGAGTCCATCACAAATAATTATTTAAAATTTGTTTTCTTTTTTTACAAAACTTGTAATATTCACAAAATGATGATGGCATTTATGAATATATGAATAAATAACAAATAAATTGCGATTATAATTCGGGGAGTTTTTTAAGGTAGCATTACTACTTGAGAATTCAAATGAAATGAAAATAAAATTAAAAACTGACAAATAAATACAAAAAAAAAGAGTACAAAAAAGCGAATAATTACAATGGAAGTCTTTATAAAAAATAAATAAATTTAGGGCAGTCTCAGATGATGTCCCAATATTGTTTAATGATTTTGGGAGGTAATGGAAACATTTAGAAATCTGTGTTAATCTAAACATACACAGTTCCATGCAATAAAATATGTTTTTAGGTCTGGCCACAAAATGTGACTGTATACAAAAGATTTAAAGATCTCTCTTTCTGTCTGACTCTTTTCTATCTATCCGTCTGTGGTTTTTTTTTTGTTTTTATTTGGCTGGGTCTGCCAATTGCGATGTCATGCAACAATAGAGCAATTGCCACAAAGCGATGATCGTCATCGTCATTATCATCAACAAAAACGGCAACAGCAACAACAAAAAGCACAATCTATTGTGTGTTGCATGTTTGTGTGTGCGGATGTATCTTTGTGTTTACAACAGCGTCTAAATTTTCTACAACAAATTTGATGTTTATTTTGCTGCGCTGCTGCGCCTTCGTTTCGTTTGTTGATGTTGCTGTTGTTGCATGAGTCATGCCTAGCAAATGGCACAGTATAGTTTCATTGGCAGTTGCTGTATCTGTAAATGTGTGTGTGTGTATTTGTGGGTATGTGGGCGGCTGCGGGCTAAACAGGGTGGCAAAGTGGGGTAGTTTGGTAGGGAAGGGAATGGGAGGAAGGGTAAGGGGTTGCCCCCTTTTTTTTGTGGTGGTTTGCCATCTCACAACATTTTGCGTCGTTTGTTGAGTTCGTAGCACTTTCAATGAATGAGGAGCACAAAACGTTCAGTTTATATTTGTGTATCTATCTAATGTATGTATCTGTATCTATCTGTATCTGTATCTATTGCTGGCCTGCCTATATACAGTTGCACTATGCTGCTGCTGCTGCCCGTTTCCAATTCATCGATTATTTCTGTTGCTCGCGTGTTAATTGATAGCCAAGGCAACAACTGGCCCAATGTTTTGGGCCTAAATATATATACATATATATATAAATACATATGTATGTGTGTATGTATAATTACATTTGTGGGTCACAGTGTGGCAAGGAAATCAATTGCATTAGTCATACCATCGACGCGGTAAGGCCAACAAAACAAATGTGATTTGTCATGATATACGAGGGGGTATTTACGCCACTGAGCCAACTGATAATAATAAATAATTTAACAGTAAAATCAAATAAGTGCAATTAAGTCACAGAAATCAACAATATGCTTAAATAATTGCGCAATGAGTCAAATTTGATGATGACGTAAACAGGAATTCAAAATTGCATTGCAAACAGCCAGCAACAGCAAGACAAACGCAGATTGCGATTGTAAACTGTGCGTAAGCGCCAAATGCTGTCAACACGAGCAGCAGGAACAACACAACAAGCGACAGAAAAAGAGAGCGAGGGAGAAAGAGTCAAGGAAGAAAATCTTAGCACTACTGTCATAAAAACAGCGCGGCATTGAAATCTATTTGCATCACAACGCGATCACATGTCTGCCAACTGACAGCAGCAATAACAGCACCAACAACAACAGCAACAACAAGATTTAGGGATAAGCTTATAAAGCTTACACATCTCTTCAAAGCTTACACTCGAAACGTAACGCAACGTAATGTATAATTTGTAACTTAATTGCCGACATACCCACCCCACTCCCCAGTCCCCACCAACCAAGCACCAACAACCAGCAGCAGCGTCCGAAAGCTGCGACATTGAATACTTTTTCGCTGTTGTTTTTTTTTTTGCTTGCGTTGTTGTTTTCAACTTTTGAATGCAATTATGTATGTATGCGTTATTATTATTGTTGTTGTGCATGTTTTGATGCTTGTGTGCATATGTTGAATTTCATAACGTGCAAAATTATAAAACACAATCAAGAACGAGAGCAGAATGTCATTTATTCTGTTTATCTCGCAGCACGTGCTAAAGCAAAAAAAAAAACACACAATTTGTTTGTTTATAATGTTAAGCAAAGCTTCACACAGCGTGCCAACTATTAACGAGTGCAACGGAGACAGAGCGATATAGAAAAAAGAGAGTATAAGACAGATAGATAGAGAGCTGGGGGGAGAAAGAGAGAGAGGGAGAGGGAGAGAGCAAGCCAGATCGAAAGTCGGAGCTAGGAAATGAAATGCATTGAAAAGCACAAACAGCGGACATGCAAATATGCAGATAACAACAACAACAACAAAGATTTGACAGCTGATAGATAAACGTAACGTGAAGTAAAATAGATAACGGGATGTTGGAACTGAACTGAAGTGAAATGAATACGAAGTGATTGCTAATCAAATCATATTTATTGTATTTATATTTATGATAGTTATTTACACTCACCATATACCGCCGGAGTGGAGCAGCTGCGCATGAGCGGTGGCGTTCGTCCGCCATTTGTGGCACCATTCATTGTTGCGGCCGTTGTTGACGTCGCCGTTGTCGTCACCGTCAGCTGCGGCTGCTGATCGTTACATGCCAGATTATCCCTGGAGCGCTTGTTGTTGGGATAGTCCTTGTGATTTGCTGCAATGATAAAATGTTAGTTCTGATTGTGCTCGAAATGACGTCAGCGTTCACAATATGTATGAGCCAAAACCTAAAAGTTGTCGCGCCGACTCACATGAATACATTCCAACATTCACACAAATGAATTCATGAAAGAAAAAAAAAAAAAACAAAAAAAAAGAACCGCAAATATTCGCTCTGCTGCTGTTTGACAAACTGACGTAAGACATTTATTTCGGCACGCAGCTTGATTAGCGCACAAGGCAGACGCAAAGACGCAAAGACGAATCGCGGCGAAGCGAAATCGAAACCAAAGCGAGGCCCAATGCAAAGCTTTACGAGCGCAAGAGCAACAAAAACAATAAAAATAAAAAAGGGCACACTTGTTGTACGCGAAAGAGAGCGCAATCATACAAATGAATGGCAGGCATGCGAGTGTGTGTGTGTAGGAGAAACCTTATCAGTCGCTGGCACAGCGCATAAAAAGTTGCTGGTAGCGCTCGGCTTTTATGCTATGAACGCAGCAACAAATAAAACAAAAACTATATAGAGTGGAAGTTCTTGCTTATCAACGAGCGACCTCAAAGCCTCAAAAGCCAAAAACCAACAAAGTTTTCTCTCGCAACGCGGGCAGGAAATGCTGTCGTTGTTTTTGTTGTTGCTAGTGTTGCTCAGAAACAAGTCAAATCGCATGCCAATGCACTGCACACACACACACACACATATATATATATATATACATATAAATATACATACACATATACATAGATATGTACATGTGTGTACTGAAACTTCGCCAAGTTTTAAAGTTGTTGCTGAGGCTGTTGCTTTTACTTGTTGTTGTTGTTTTTGCTGTACCGACGAATTCGTACTCGAAAGGTCGTTTCAAAGCGGGTTTCGTTGCCAGCGTTGCCAGTCCGTCGCACAAACCTGCTTTGCTTTACATTTATTATTTTTTTTTTTTTGTACTCAGAGTCAACGAAACAACAAAAAAAAGCTTCGTTTTTCGTTTGCTTTTATTTCTGAAAGACACGCGAATGTGAGTCACGTATGAAGTAAGTAGAAACCGACTCTCTGCCTCTGCTTCTGGCAGACAAGCAGAGACAATCGTTGACGACGCTTTCCCCTTTACTTCTTCTCCCCTCCGATTACCCCACAAGGGGATGCGCTTGGGCGCGCAAACTTTATAAAGTAAACAGCAGGCATTCCAAGCGAAAAAAAAAATGATTCGCTTTAATCTTCTCTTCGCAACATGTAATTGTGTGAGTGATTTGGCTAGGCTAATGTATAAACTATGTATTTGTGATTTTGTTTGCCACTACTTACCAGCAATGCGATTGTTGTTTTTGCTGCTGTTGTTATTGTTGTTTTGGATGAAAAAAAGATGACACGGCTTTATCCGCGTTTTCATTTCACTTTTATGACTCACGCTGTTGCTATCTCCGTCGCGCTCACAGCAATTGCGTGTTGTTGACGTTGCCGTATTGTTGTTGTTGTTGCTGTTGTAGTTGTAGCTGCTGTTGCTCGATTCACACACACACATGCAGAGACTTGAGCACACACATACAACACAGAGACACGGACACAGACACGAGAATAGTTTAAATTGAATATTTAAGCTGCCTATTTGATATTATTATCTCTTTATTATAACTTTCGACTAAGTCTCAAAAATATATGTATATATATTATATATGTAAGTATTTAGTTGGTTTATTAGATAATACCAGTGCTTGTTGTAAGCAACACTTGTTGAGCGACCGCGGGCACTTCCCGTTACTGTTGCTGTTGTTGCAGTTGTAGTTGTATTTAACACTTGTTGTTTGTTTTTAAATTTTTGAACACGCGCACATTTATTTAATTAGTGTTGTAAGTTGTGCGAAGGCTACTTGGGATCAGCTTATCAGGTTATGTGCTAGATTTTATTAATCCTCTAATTTAATTTTCCAATTGCGACACGTTTGAAATTACGAGTATGTCCAAGTCTGAGTTCACATGCTAGTGTGCAATATACAATATGTTTTATGCGGTATATTTATTGTTCAACAAAATTGTCAATTTTTAACCGCAATACGCAAGTGACACGTCCACTCACAATGAAAGTCTCTCGCGTTATGACAACAAACGAGGCACCGCCGAATCAAAAAAACGAACAAGCAAGCAAACGAGCCGAAAACACACACGACACATATGGGTGGATGGTGTGCAAATGACGAGAGCGTGAGAGACATCTGTTTGGTGGCACTAAAAATACCAAAATATACTGAACAATTTTCTCTCGCAGCTCTGCCGTTAATTGGCGCCAAGTTTCTTCTTTTTTTTCCTTGTTGAACAGAAATACAATAATAGTAAATACCACCGCCTTACATAGCGATGATGATGTAGAACAATAACAATAATAATAATTAAAATAATAGTATAAATTATTAGTGAAACTCTGCGCTTAACTGTTATTTCTTAAATTTCTGAAGGCTGTCCTTCAAGTAGCCTCCTTGGGTGATTTATTTTTAAAACACGTGCATAAAATTAATATATTTTGTTTATTTTCTCGATTTTTGTTATGCTTTAATGCGTTAAAAAAGGGTTGTCACTTAACAGCTCTGTAATTATTCGGTTGTTGGATAAAAATCGATAACAGTGCAACAATCGAGCAGCGGCGCTCACACTAAACAGCTGTTTAAAAACGCGCTTACAAATTACTATTTAAGCAACTCACAATTCGACATAATAATTGATTGCGTATGAGTGCTGGGCAATATTTGCGTCTCAAGATGTCTAGACCGACAATACTTACATACAACTGGACTATAGAAACCTATGCGTTACTACTTAGCATGGGTATTCATAATAATTTAAGCACCACAGATTCGTCAGATTTAAATTAAACTTGTCTTTGGATTCTGACGGACTGCAATTGAAAATAAATCCGATGAAAATCTATTGTCTACACTTCTTTATTTGAATATATCCAATATATCTATTTGAAATACGGATATGGTCAAGCAAACATATCTGTGTGATAATAACGGAAATACAAATTTGGGACTGCGGACAGCCATAAGATATCTGCCCATAAGCCAAGACTATCAGTTAAAAAATAATTATATGCCTTATCAGAATTGACTTTAAACTTTTATTATCGTATTCACAGCACGCAGCGAAGTCTCAAAATATTTAAATGTATACTTTTATAATCAGCATTGATATGATAGAAAGATCAATCCGTGTAAAAAATGTACTCTAAAAGTTCACTGGAAATATGCTTTTCAAAAACATAAAATACAAATTCTTATCCACATATATTATGCCCTTTATTTCGAAATACTTATGTTCTTGTTTGTGTACAATCTTAAATATAGATTTATTAGTTGGATAACGTAATGGGACTTGGTGGCCGCCAGCCGCCAAATTCGCGCTCCATTTCAACAGCAATACGGAGGCACAAGCGATCCTGAAATGGCGCCGCAATTACCGAGAAACCAATGGGTAAGCCAAGCCTATTGCGGCCCATGGGCACATGAGTTACCGGCATTCCAAGCACATTGAAAATCAGCGTCAAATCGACGCCCCACATCTGCAGCGATGACCATCCGTGCAGCGGGGCAGCCGCATGCATTGTGGGGAAGATCAGGACACCATCCTCTCCAAGCATTTGCTGCAGCAAACAAATAGAGATATAATTAATTCAACGCTTTTGAAATGAAAAAATAACAGTTGCATTAAATATAATAAAAAAATATATCTTCTGCAAACTAAACTGAAAAAAAATAAAACAAATTATTAAAACAAACCATAATCTGCCTTTTAATGTTATTTCCCATTTTCAGAAAATATGGCCAATATAAAGAAGTTCCTGCTTAGATAAGTTGCTTAAAACAAGATCTTGAGAATTGCAAGACAGATAGTTAGTAAGCATGCTCTGAAATTCAGAAAGATTCGGATTGTAACTACAATTAAATCAGCTTTAATCTTTAGGACTATGGGTTTTTAGTCACTCATCGATTTTGATCGATTTCGCCAAGTGTACTTACAGTTAACTCAACAGCAAGCGTTTGCGCCTCTTTCTGATAATATTCCAATCGCTGGCCGGGCATAAAGGCCTTTGCGCGACGCAGTAGATCGAAGATCAGGGCGTTGGTTGTGTGATTGGAGAGTTTGAGGAGGCTGCGCATTACTTGAACAAGTGTTTCGCAGACTGAGCCCTTTGTTGGTTCGCCCAGGGCATATGGCATCTGCTGCAGGCGGGCAATGCTGCTCATCGCTATCTCCATGGAGTTGTTGAAGCCAGCTGGCAACTGGGCCCGTTTGACTTGCAGCCCGATCGACACCAGATACGAGAGAGCATCGCGCATTCTTCGCTTAATGTCCCTGTCAACGGTGTGATGCATTCGACCGTTGAGTCCAACGAAGCCCGCAGTGGAGAAGAGCACCCTCAGCTTGCCGAGCTGCGGCTGTGGGTCGTGTAGATGCAGCTGGGACGCATTCTCGCCGGCCATCACCTCCAGGAGCAGTGCGAGATCGACGGCAAATCGTGTTATTGGGCCGAGGACCAAATAGTTCGCAAAGTCCGCATCGTCGGAATTGGGAAAGTGGCCAGCCACTGAGACCACGCCCCCAGTGGGCTTGTGGCCAAAGACGCCACAAAATAAGCTGGGTATCCGTATGGAGCCGCCAATGTCCGAGCCAATGCCAAACAGCGAGGCTCCAGCTCCATTCAAAGCGCCCTATCAAAAAATGTACTCTTAAAAACTGTGAGGTATTTTCAAAAATTTAAAAATTAATTGTTGCCACTTACTTCGCCGCCGGAACTGCCGCCAGGGGTGCGCTTGAGATCATACGGATTCCGGCAGCGTCCATTTAGCAGTGTATCCGTATCGATGGAAAAACAATATTCGGGTGTGGCAGAGACCAACAAGGGTATGGCACCAGCGGCGCGAACGCGCCCTACAGCAGCACCATCCGAATCCGCACGCATTTTGGATCGCGCCAAGCTGCCCACGGCAAAGGACATGCCGGCCAAGGCACAGGACTCCTTCACGGTGACCGGTAGACCCAGCAGTGGCTGCCTCTCAAACAGCTGCTCCACATCGCCAGCAGCAGCGATGCGCTTATCAACGGCGGCAGCCTCGAGTAGCGCCGCCTCGAAGCGATCCTCGACCACAGCGTTCAGCTGGGAATTGACGGCTTTAATGCGCTCAATGTAGACTGTCACCAGCTCGACGGCAGTCAGCTGTTGAAATTGGCCAACGATCAAATCAGTCTCGTTCTTATCAATGGCTAAAATTGAGATCTCACCTGGCGGGAACGCAGTTGCGTGCGCAGCTCCTGAGCGCTAAGCGTCAGCAGGCGATTGGTAATGGCTGGCAGGCAGCTGGACTCTGGCTTCTGTTGTTGTTGTGGGCCACGAATTGCATTGTGCACAGCGTTAAGTATTCGAGTGGAAAATTTGACGATTATTAATAGCAAACGCAGTAAAAATTCCATTGTGAAATGAAAAGAGAGGAGCGCGCAGAACACGCCTTCTCCAAAGCCAGCAACGGACTGATGAGTGATTCAGCGCGAATGATTTTAGAAGCAATTTAGTAAATGTTGTTTACATATAGGGACAGACCAATAGAGAAAGAGAGCGAGACCTAGAGAGCGGTCCAAACATTTGCATGCGCTTTGCAGATTGTCTGGTGCAGAGTTGCCAACGTTTGTAGTTACAGGAAATACATAAAGGGTAGAAAATATTCTAATTTTTCTTATATTACGTAATTATTATTATTGCCAGCACTTATAAACATATATAAATGAGCCATTATCGCTAGCTATTGGAGCTACGATATTGTTATTGTTGAATCTGTTAATATTCAAATATATTTCTGAATTCACCACGTGACGTGGCAACGATTAACCAACACTTGTCGTGTGAGGGCAGCGCCAAGGGCTATCGATAACACACAAAAACACACACAACACTTTTGTCGTTTAATTTTTGAATGTATTGAATGTATTAAGAACTGAACCGTAACCTTTACTCTTATTTGTCTATGATAATGTGATAATTGGTTACTGTGTGTTTGATGCTGGTAACTGATGGGGCACCGGTGGCACCCAGCCATTAAAAGCACCGTCCAGTTCGGCAGCGATTTGCAGGCAGAGCTTGTCCTGATATGGCGCCGCTATCACCTGGAAGCCTATTGGCATCCCGCGCCGATTCAGACCCATGGTGACGTGTGTTGCCGGCAAGCCGAGCACATTGAAGAGCAGCAGGCTGTCAATTCCCGTGATATTCAACAATGATGAGTGAAAGCTCAGGGCGCTTGTGTGAAAGGTGGGCAGAAACAGAACGCCGCGATCCCCAAGAAAATCCTGTAAATATAATGCAATACCTAATTTAAAACTGCTGACCAATTCTTTGCCATGCCTTACAGTCAGATGCGCTCTTAGCTGTACGAGCTCCTGGCGATACTGTTCCATTCTGATGGGGCACATCAGGCCATTTACGCGCTGCATCAGCTCCATAAAGAGCGCCTCCTTGGTGAAAATCGAGTGGCCAAACAAGCTGTTTAGCATCTCCATAATCAGCGCTCGCATATGCGGTGCCCGATGCGCCTGTTGTGTGATAATGCTGGGGAGCCCCTTCAGATCGACGAGGGCGACCAGCGCTATCTCAAAGGAGTTGCGCAGGAAACTAAGATCCAGCTGTACGGATATAGATTGAAATATTCTCTATATGTATATGTATAAATATCCAACTGACTGCACTCACCTCTTTCGGCTGAATGCCTGCCTTGGCCAAGCATTTGATAGCACGCACAATCGACAATTTGATCTCAGAGTCCACGGCTGGATGCAGCAGACCATTCAGACCAGAAAAGCCAAAGGCGTAGTGGATCTACAATTGCGGTTTCAAATAAACTTATAAATACATCAATAAGCAAAAAATATTGTGTTTTCAAGTCAAGAGGGGAGGAGTTACTTCCACTGGGAAGCAGCTTGTACTCAAGTCCCAGTTTACCCATCACATATCGTACATGTGTCCTAACCCTTTGCAAATATTAGTTAAATATTTATATTTTAAAATCCTACTTGAATGTCCTTCAGCGGCACTGGCTCGTTAATTTTCAGCTTATGCTTGTTGTCACCGGCCATTATCTCCAGCAGCAGGGGCATATCGCGTGCAAAGCGTGTGATTGGTCCAATTTGCAGGTAATTGGGAAAATTGTTGTCCAGCAGCGAGTATGGAAAGTGACCCTTCACCGAGGTGAGTCCCCCGGTGGGCTTGTGCCCAAAGACGCCGCAAAACATGGCAGGCAGTCGAATGGAGCCGCCTATGTCGGAACCAATGCCAAAGGGCGTGGCGCCACAGCCATTCAATGCCCCTTCGCCGCCAGACGAACCAGCTGGCGACCGTGACAGATCATATGGGTTCAGGCAGCGTCCGTTGGCCACCGTGCTCGTCTCGGCGCTCATGCAGAACTCGGGGGTAGCGGACACCAGCAGCGGAATGCCGCCGGCAGCACGGACCAGCTCCACAACATCACCGTCTTGCGGCGCCTTCATGCCCTTGCGTACAAGGCTGCCCACCTGAAAGGAGAGGCCTCAACAAATGGAATGGGATGGAAAAAAAAAACGCAAAACATTACAAATTGTTAGAGAAAATGAAGGGAGTAAAATCCAGCTGCTTACCCTTGACGCCGCATGACTCTTTCACCGTGAAGGGTACGCCCAGCAGGGGATAACGTGTGAAGAGCGCCACGCGGTCGAACTCTGTGATGGCCCTGGCCATGAACTCATCGGCATGCTTCGCCTCGTTCAGTGCCGCCTCGAATCGCTCCTCAATGACCGCATTGAGCGATGGATTTACTTCGCGCACCCGTCCAATGTACGCCCTGACCAACTGCTCCGATTGTAGCTGTATGTGGAATAGCTTGAATACAAATTTGTTGAATTTGGATTGGATTTGAAATATTACCTGACCGCGTCGCAATTCGGTCACCAGTTCGATAACCGATTTGGTTAATATCTGATCTCGAATTGGTGGATAATTGGGTCTCTGGCGAGCAAGCAGCAAATCTATCAGCTTATTAGCTAACATTGCAATATAGGTCAGAATCAGACCGATAATACGTATTAGAATATCCATTGTTACATAAACCACGGGCGGGGTCAACAGGTGAGACTAATTCAAATGCAAATTCGCCGTACTTTGAGCTTCCGCTAAATTGGTAAAGCAACTTTTTATTTCCAATGGATTCCAAGGGGCTGGCGTTGAAGTACTGCTCGCTTTGGATTTTGATTCCGAACTACGAGTGGTCGCGATATATGCATTTAAAATTTGTTGAATTTAATTTTGATGTAAGCTCTTTGAGTGTTACAAAACGCGTAAACTTTCGATTCTTACCAGGGCTGGATGACGAATTTAGAATTTAAACAAAATAATGTAAAAAGCATTGTTGAATCAAAATATTTGCATTTTAAATATACTAAATAATGTAGTTAAAAACAATCTAAGATTTGTACTTGTTTTTTTTTATTCTTTAATAAATTATTGCCAAAATAATTGTTTCCATTTGTAGCAATCAGGTCCTATTGAGTCTTTGAATTTTACTATTAAGGTTTTAAAACTATTTGAAATTAAAAATATGAAATGTAATTATTTATAAAACTTAAATTAAAAATGTTTTTCATTTATTTTTAAGTCGAGCATTTTAATTTAATCAAAAGCGAGAAAAATAATCAATTATTGTTGCTTTGTTGGCTGTTTCCAAAGTTTTTCAAAATAGCGCTAATAATAATGTTAACAAAATGCACTTTTTTTTATTAATAAGGCATTGCGAAAACTGTGATTATTCAATGCATCCTGCATACTGCAGAGCACCGGATTCAAATGATATTCTCAAACGTAGCCAGTTGAGGCTGGCCTGGCAAAGGGTCAGGCTATTTTTAGAGATAGTAGAGGAGGTGCAAAGAGGTCCCCGAGGTCGCCACAAGCGGCTGCATTAGATAAGAAGAAATATGTATATATATAATATTAGATTTAAGAATTTGCAATAATATAATGGCTTGCTCGTCAGAGCAGGCAGTTCGAAGCTAATCGTCGACTCAGCGTGACGCGTTTAAATAAAAAAAATTCGAAAAAAAAGGATGCTATTTTGTTTTTTTCTGACATAAATGATTTATTTATTTAATGCTGTAGTTATTGTAACACTCTTTACTTAGGTGCTAAGGAAAACGAAATGCTTAAGTTAACTAACTAATCAGGCTATAAACAATACATTCAACGAATAACTGTTAGATCTTAAGGAATTTAAATGAAATCAACATAATGAGGCAACTTGGCATAGGATAAAATATACATATATAAATATATGTATACGGATTTCTCAAAATTGCGACTTTAATCAAAATTGTTAACAGATAACAGTTAATTATAAGTACTACATGTGTATTGAAGTCAACTGATTTAGGCAGCTTGGCATAGACGCGAAATTCATATATTTATGTATATGCAATGTACGTATGCATGTATATGGTTTAGACTTAGAATATAACTATTGTTATATATATATATATTTTTTTTTATATATATATACATATATATATTATATGTATAGAGCACAATATTACCCTTTTGGGCAGTTGAAGTTATTGGATTTTCGGTTCCCGTTCCCAATGAAAGTGGCGCGCACAGAAATTGACATTTATTTAGTATATGGATATCATATATATATATCATATATATTTTATGTTTTTGGTGTTTTATTTTTAATTTGTATATATTTGTTAGATTTTTGTTTACACCAATCATTGTTATGGTTAATACTTATTGTTGAACATTCACTTTGCAAATTTATTGTGTAATTATGGATGAGTGTCACTGTGTTATTTATAGAATATTATTAAATATTATGACAGCGGCCTGTAAATGTATGCAATCACACAATTTCTGTTATATGTATATATATATAAATATATGTTCATATATATACATATACATATATATACATATATATATATGTATGATAATTAAAAATTCTTCAGTTGGGATATGTTATGCATATGTATCAGGGTTAAGTTAATATCATTGTATTCAATATTATTATTATTATTATTATTATTGCTATTATTATTATTTTTGTTATGATTATCATATTATTAATATTATTATTAGTTTTATGTATACATTTATGTAGATGCATAGACTCTATACTAATATATCCTAGTATACATGCGTCGGTGTATTAAAGGGTTTATCTCATATGTTAGATTGTATATGTTAAATATAAACATTAATTTATTTATTGTCTAAAACATTTGCCTCATTATACTATTATTATATTGCTGACCTAACAGCTTCTAATTCCATTCTAACTAACACACACCTTTGGCTACTTAAATTACAATTTTTTGTTGCTGTTGCTGTTGATATATGTTTTTTTTTTTAATTTTGAACACCTCTTAAATTTTGAATTCAATCGGTCACTCACTGGTTAACCAAGGGATGCACAGTTTGGCGGAGCATTTACACTAATCCCACCAGTTTGGGTAGAAGTGTTGACACAACTTTCCGCGGGGCTCTCGGGATTGCTGTGCCGCTCATCAAATGCAATGCCAAACCGGATCCAGTGGCTAATCATCTCATCCCAATTCATCTCAACTGTGGCGTAGCTTAGGTCATGTGCAGATCACCCTTGAGGATGCGCATGAACGTCTTCTTGAATTGCTGATTGGCCAATGCGTAGCAGAAGGGATTCATTGGACTGTTGGCATAGCAGAGAAAATACGAGAACATATACAAATGCTCGTTGGTGCACGGCGGATTGCGACAGAAGCCCTCGACCAGGGCCAGCACATGATACGGTGTCCAGCAGGCGACAAAGCATCCCAAAATAAAAGATATGGTGCGGAACGCTTTGCGTGCACGATTCTCCGATTTGGATTTTTGTCGGCTGCCGCCAATGCCCATGACCAGCGGCAGTGCCTTCTTGCTCTTGAAATGCTTGCCAATGGAGTGCATAAAGTCTCGCTTGCTGGAACCCCGTCGCGGTACGCCGCCGCCGGTGTTGGCGCCGTTGCCTCCACCCTCATCCAAATCCTTGGCCTCCTTTCTGCTGCAGCCGGCCAGACCCGCCGTGCTGCTGGTGGTGCCACCCGATGTGGAGGCCATCTTATTGGTATTACTGTCGGACGCTTCCCGCTCATCAATCCGCTCCAGCTGTACAGTAGCACTTGCTGGCGTTGCACCATTAACAGCGGCTGGCTGCGTCTTCACCGGCAGCTGTTGTGGTAGTGGCGGCATTGGGGAATAGAGCACAGCATCCTTGCTGCTTGTCTCCATTGGACTGGAGGCGCGACGAGGCGGACAATCCGCTTGCATTTTATCATTGCCACCGGGCACATCCAGCAGACAGATGGCCTCAATGCAGCTCTCGCGACGCATTTTACCAAAATCCTCGATGCCTGTGTATGAGACGAGAAGATGTTTTTCAATTGCAACCGGCTCCTGGCACGGAGACTGGCTCCGATTCTGACTCTGACTCTGATTCTGATTCTGGCTGGTGGGGGGACTTTGGTGCTGTTTGCGTGCAGGTGGCGGTGGTGGAATGGCACTCCGCGGAGCCGAGGAAACAGAGGGCGTGGGTCGCATGGAGCGAGCGCTCTGAGAGCAACTGACGCTCTCATTGGTGGCAAACGAATTGGTTGCCTGCATGGCAGAGCTCTCATCCATGTAGCGGAGCTCCGAGTTGTTCGTCAGCAGATCGTAGGTCATGGCCAGTTCGCTGTTGCCGCCGGAGCTGTTGCCAAAGGGTCGGTCCGAGTAGTCGGACAGGGGCGTGGGGCACTGGAAGGCTTCAGGCGGCGGTAGGATCGCTTGCACCAAGCACTGTTGCACCTGTTCACGTGGCACCTCAATCGGCGCCAGATCCACGGGTGAGAGCGGGTCATTGTTTGTGGTTGGGTTGGTGGTTTGATGGAAATCAATTAGGCGTTCATGCTCGGCTATCTGGGAGAGCGTGGAGCAGGAGGTGCGCTTGGGTCGCTCAACCGGCGTATGTGCCTGAAAGTGCCCATTGCCCACCTCCTCTTTGCTCTGCGCCCGCTGTAGGCTCGTTTGGTGGTGGTCTGATTGAAGTTGCGGCGACCGGGCGCCCATAGAGTGCATGGCATCAATTGACTTGGAGTTGGTCGTGCTCTGTTGCAAGTTACCTTTGCTGCGGGTCGCAAGGAGCGCCGCCTGCGCACCAAAAACCAGGCCAATGGACGAACGCTTGCGCAGATTGGTAAGCTTCTGCTGGTTGAGCAGCATCTGCGTCTGATTCACGGATGACTCCTCGTCCGAATCGAAGGCCGGACTGCTGGAACGTTCGCTCTTCTCCGCCTCGGCTGCTGCCCGCTTATTCTCCTCAATTTTCGCCTCGGATGCCCGACGCTGTTCGGGTGTCATATTCTCCATGGCAATGGCGGCCACTTCTGGGGACTGCGCCAGCGGATTGGCTTGCCCGGAGCCACTCAGGCGCTTTACAGTTGTTGCGATGCCATTGTTGCTGCCATCCAGTTCGGTAAGTGCGCCAGACAGCTGCACCTTCGTCTTCAGTATCTTCTCCTCGATGACACCGATGCCAGCTGCATGACCGGCCATGCCTGACATGGCCCCAGCACTCAATGCCACCATTGATTGCATCTTTCGCTGCTTGGCCTCACTGCGCTTCTGCATATCGTAGGCCGTCTTGTAGATCCCCGCATATAGCACGAATAGCACTATCAGTGTCGTCCAGTAGTAGCCAATGATTAGCGCTGTGTTGAACACTGGATCCTTGAGGAACTGTACGGCACACTGGCCGGGCAACAGATCCCGTTTGCCCGTAAAGTGCTCCCAGCCAAAGATCGAGATGAAGAACAAGAGCGTTGGTATTATCCAAGTTATCGAGACCATATAAATCACACGTGTCCGGGTCCGCCAGCTGCGATATTTGGCAGCTATCTTCACCGAACAATAACGATCAATGGTGATCAGCAATACGGTGTACTGGGAGACCAGGCAGACGGTATAGTCAACGGATAGCCACAAGTCGCAGAGCAACGGTCCCAGATCCCAGTAACCCTTAAGCACATATATCGTATAAAAGGGCATTGAAACGGTGCCTGGAGTAAGAAAAACAAAGTAAATCATTTATCCCAGCTTAAATTAGGATCATTTTAATACTTTTGAATGAATTGAATTATTTGACATCATAAATAATATATTCAATCCAATTATATTAATTAATAATTCAAGTATATTTGAGAAAAATGGGTTCAAACATTATTAATAAAATATGAACGTTAAACTCTGTAAAACCAATACTCTCAATCTTAAAATAAATTTAGATTAAATAAAGAAATATTCTTAAGTGTTCTTATAAATATCATATTAGCAAACGTAAATTATTTTTTTTGCATATTTTTATTCTTTACTGAAGACTATTTAAAAGCAAATTTAAAGTAAATTATTTAGATTTTGTTTGGTTGAGTTTGATAAATCTATTTGCCACGCAATTCAAATCTGTGGCAATTGTTTGCCCATATTACCTACCTATCAACATATCCGTTGCAGCCAGAGAGGCTATAAAGTAGTTGCTGGGCTGTCGAATATTCCGGTCCACAATGAAGGCGAGCAGCACCAGGATGTTGCCGCCTACCGTTAGAATGATGCATACAAACAAACAGAGTGCAATCGCTATCGTCTGCCACATCTCAAATGGTGGCAACACCAATGCCGGCCCACTATCCTCAATGGGCGTGGCACTCGTCTCCGTCGAGCTATTGCGCCCGAAATTGGTCAAATTGACTCCGAAATTGCGATACCATTGCAACTGCTCGTTGGATGGCCATGAGTTGAAGTCGGTGATCTCGCCATAAATCTTGGCAGCCTCCAAAAAGCGTTTGCACTCCGCATGCTCCATGACCCGATTGTAGAGATCACGACAGAGATTCTCGCGCTCCTTGCGTATCCGCCTGGTAGATTTTAAGAGGTATTTAATAGTTAATATGCTTCTGTGATATAAATATATTTATATATAATGAAAGAGAAAAGAAGATCGATTATGGATTTTATTTAAGTTATTAATGAAATTAATACAAATCAAATAGTTCAGCAAGTTATTTTTTAGGAAGTTTTAATCCGAACTTTAGCATATTTATTCAGGCACATTACAAGAATCGAAATCGAAATATCTAAAACAAAATCAATATTGGAAAACAGAAAAGATATTGAAAATGAGAAAATAGGAATGATTAAACATAACGGGCTTTTGCATACCATTCTGTAATCCAGTTCGATTTAATTGCGTATATTGACTCGGTTCTGTTTGCAGCATCCAAACCACTCAGATCGTCATCGCTGCTATTAAAGCCCGTCGACTTGGCTAAATTACGCATTTTAACTGGCTTTTTTTTCTTCTTCTTCTTCTCTATTTACTCTTTGACGAATTGCTGTTGTTGCTTTTCAGTTTCCTAATGGTAATTTCCAAGTTATTCACCTTTTTGCTGTGGCTGACCGTCTTCTATTTTCAGTTTGCCATCGCTGGTGCTGACGTTTTTGTGGTTGCCCCTCACTCTGGCCAGGTGCGGCATCTGTAAGAGGGCCACAGAGCAAAGAGATGCAATTGGTACTGTGTTATGGTTGTTGCGGCCCTTTCTTGGCTTTCCTTCCGCTAACTTTAAACTAATTTTGTGGCCGTTAACTATCAACAGGCAGACGGCAACTGGCAGCAGACTGCAATTCAATCTCAATGCAAGGAGACAGGTGACTCGGGCAATTTCGCTTGCAACATTTGCATCCTGCTGCTGCTGTCTTTGTGCACCTTCTGATTGGAGGTCATTATGATGTTGTACGAGGTGGTACAAGGCAATGCTGCTTGCTCTTAAAGGGGCCTCCGACAACTTTGCACTTTGAATTTCTTTTACACATTTAATGCTATTTATTATTTAAAACTAAATATGCACAGGAAACGAACAAACTTTGTGCACAGGTCAAACTTGATTTGACTTCGCTGCAGACTGTTGCATCTGATGCCGTCAATAGGAAGGATGTCGACAGGACATCAAATTGCAACGCCAAATTGAGTTTGCAAGTTTCCTACAAATCAATAAGTTTGTCTTGGCCCCTGTGCAAATGCCTTAGCACCAAATTGAGTTATGCATTCACAAACATTCAAACTATATATAGAAAATAAATTTCCACTTTGTTTTGATACTGCTTTGACTCTCTAAGGCCTGATTATTGATAGCAAATTGAATTACTTAAATCAATTTGTAGCATTTAATTTCCATTACACTGAGAGCTAAGCCTTTTGTTTCAGTTTGTGGCATGTTTACGTAATCCTGCTGCAAGAGCGCGAAGCAATCGCTGACACCTGCTGACCTGGTGTCGGACTAAAGCCACTTTCTGGCTTAGCAAACAACAATTGGCGTTTCAATCAACGTTTTTGTTTTTATTTATTTTTTGTGAACGCACTCTGCAAACTCTGCAATCAAATCTCTGTTGCACCTCCGTCAAGCTGATACCCAATTTCTATGCTAATTAAGTGTTATCAAAAGTAGAGCTTAGGCATTTTGATTGTCAGTTGCACAAAAATGTCGGTCGGCCAATTGAAATGGGTCAAAGTTGATGTTTAAGCTTGCCTCAAGAGGAAAACCGCAAACCATCATTGGCCACTAATTTTTTTGAGATTTCAAATCGTATTCAATTTAGAATCGAAGTTTGTTAAATCTATGTTGAACGGTTTTCCATGTGAACATCTTCAATTAAGCTGTTTTGTCAACTTAAACTTAAAATCTATTCTGTTCTATTCACAAAGCAGAGCAACTGTAAGTTCTTTATTTTGCCAATAATCATCAAAAGCTGGCCGTCAACGTTCGTTTTGCTATTTAAATATATCTTTGAGTTGAATGTGAAGCAGCCCTTCAATTGCGCGTTGCCAAGGTAAAACGAGTAATCCTGCCTTTCAAGGGTATAAAGTGCAGCAAAGCCACCAGTGCTGCGGCTGCCAAGAGCCAAAACCCATCGCTGGCCTTGCGGCTTGTGCACTGGTCCTGCAAATTGACCGCAAGCGAATCTATGTGGTTCAAAAGGTGATGAATAAACTTGCATACCATATTCTTTGGCATCTTAAAGGTAGCTTTAAGCGATGCTGCATATCTGCTGTCGTCTCTACGTGTATATATTTATACATGTGTAGCTTAACTAATGAAGTTCACGTTGCTTAAAAAAGATAAATTGGGCAAAGTACAGCTGAAGAAGCGAGTACGGTTGGAAAGCACAAGGGCTGATTTTAAAGTGCTTTGCTTTGCTATAGTTAGCTTTACAATTGGATACCACGCATAAATATTTCAAAAGCTGCTACAAATGTTTTGTGTGCTACACAAAATTTAAATGTGTCTGTCAAAAATATTCCAAACTAATGAGAAAATCTAAGAAGTAATAAGTGTGATATTCACAGCACACAACATATATTCCCCTTGCTCAAGTGTCTGCTGAGTATGAAAATGAGTTTTGTTGTGGTGCTGCGTGTTGACACAGCTCCAAAATGACAATTCCTGCCCGCCTTTTATATTATACTGTAGATAAGATATATATATATATATATTTTTCATAATGGCGGGCTTTATTTTGCCTTTTTGCTTTTCTGCTAATAATAAACTTATTAAATGTGTAAGCCAGCCGTTGTCCTTGGCGCTCAAGTGTCCTGGCTGGGTGCTTTTATTTGCCAAATAATGAAAAATAATTTAATCAAGCAAACAAAGGGCTGAATAGCGATAACAAAAAAAGGGGTTGCCTCCAGGTGGGCGGCACCTGTGCGTGGCAGCTCAAAAAAAAAAAACAAAAAAGAAACGAGAATCTCATCAAAGTTCAGTGTGGCCTCTTGTCAAATGCAAATTGATGGGCAACCGTGGATAAGCGCCTCGGCCAGGCTGCAGGATATTTTCCGAGCTGCCAGCCTAATTGGCAGCAGCTGCACGAATTCCATGCAATTTTTATACCTACCAAATTCGTGCGGTTTTCAATCATGCGCTAATATCCGCGCCCGCTTTGACAAACAACTCGGATCCGGGTCTGGGTCTGGGTCTGGGTCCGGGTTAGGTATGTCAGGTTTTTAGCCGGGTCCCAACAATAGCGTTAGCGGCATGCCTCGGCCAACTGGTCGCTGTAATGCGTGTGTGCCTGCTGCTGGTTACCATCTAATCCAGCAAATTGTCAAAAGCAGCGTCCATTCTTTTGAGCCCAAGCGAACGGCAGTCACAGTGCACAAGCTACGCGCCACAGATTTTGCGTTTGACAGCATTGCCTGGCCAGAAGGCCTTTTGCACCCGGCACAGTCTGGCCCCATAATGAAGTTTCCCAAGTGCGCTTGGTAAGTTTTAATTACAAAAGGCGTCACTATCTGTATGGTGTTCTTATTCCTGCTGCTGTTTAATTCATAGCGCTTGGCATAGATTGTGCGACGAGGAAGCGTCGCCATCTTGGCTCGTGCCAGTCACATAAAGCCTTTTGCATTTTCATCAAAGTGAAATGTTAAATAAATGTTGGATCTTGGGACATTTTTGATGAATAATTTTATGTATTTTTTTTTTAACACAAGGTGACGCATGCGACGCGTTGCCCCGTGACTATTGCCAGCTACCAATTGCTGGAAAAGACAATTTTCAATTTTGACTAGACAAACAGCAAATATACAGTATGCATGGGGGCGTGGGGGCGTGCCATGGCGGCAGTCAACTGGTCCTTGTCACGTTTCTTGCATGCCAAATGAAGTTTGGATGGCGACGGAAGAGAGTAGAACTCTGCTGTGAAACGGAGGCGCTGGCGAAGCCACAAACTGTCGCTGTTACAGGCCGTGTGTAACTGTTGCGCCCATTTAGCATTGTAACCACATACACACACCCACACACACACACACACACACACACTCATGTGTGTGCGGGTGAGCACATCCGCATGCAAATTTAACGAGCGTCAATGGCAAAAATGCGCCCCAGGCCACTTGACTTTGTCTTTGTGGCAAACATTACACACACACACACACGCACACACATACACTCATGCACTTTGTGTGCTGTTAGTTTTACATCCGGTAGAAAGATAGCTCATAAATGCAAAATGCCGCCACGACACTTGCCATTTGAAAAGTGCTAAATGTGTTGGTACAAAAAAAGCGAGATTTTAACTTCAGTAGGTTTTTCATAATGCTTCCTTAAAACTTGTTTCTTATTCAAATATATGCTTTAGTTACTTGGAAAATCATTTTTATTATTATCCTTACAACACATTCAAATTGCCTTTTTTGGCATACATATTGAGGAGCAGCCAAATCGAATCCTATAAAATGAATGCACGAAAAAATCGAGTACCCGTTTGTGGTAATAAATAGGTGAATATCACCAATTTTATATAATCTTGCAAAAAGATATAGGGTCGATTCTTAAATGAAATTGTAGAGTAATTTATTACTTTATCTTACACCATAAAGAACATGTAAAAACGTTGCACATATTAAGCCCAGATGGTACACATGTCAAGGATTGTGAGACCATTTGCAGACCATAAGAGTCAGGCTCAATTTTCCTCGTCCTTAACTCAATTTGTACCATTCTCCATACGTTTTCACGATAATCGCAATGATAATTTTATGAAACTTAACACAGCCCTCTGTGTTTTCTTTTTCTCTTCTTTTTTGGTTTTGTTTTGTGCAACATCTGCAAAGTGCCTTGGCGACACTTGCTGCAAATTGCCAGCGCAAGCTCATTCCCAATCCACTATACACGATCTCTAATCCCTTCAACGGAATGGTGCTCATTTGGCGCTAGCATTCGAGCTGAAAATTGCTTGACACAGTTGTTGCATAGCTCAAGTTCTGTAACGACTGCGACTGGTGCTTCTGGTTGTCGTTGTCATTTCCACACGAAAAGCCAAATGAAACGAAAAGTAAACAAAAAGCAGGCACGTGGCAGGCACACAGTGTGGTAGACATGGCATGGCCATAAAATGACAGAGCAAATGACGCCTGCCACCCAGCTACTAATGACACTGATGCGTTTTTGATGATGCCACTGACTTGAACTGCTGCCTGCCATGCCACCTGCCCCAATTCAGTCCTATTCAGACCCTTGTAGTAATTGAATGTTGCGGTACAAAATATCTGGTTTAACGCTGCGTATGTGCAATGTTCAGGCAATGTTTTTATTAAAAGTATTTTGGTATGCGCAATTAACGTGTCCGAAATTAATAATGGCATTAATCATATAATGCTACCAAGTCGGAACAGCGAGAGGTTGTCATTGTGCTTGGCCAAGTTTTTCCTGCTGCCTTGTCAAGAACATTAATTATGCCACTGATGTTGTTATCCTGCTGCGCAGCAGCATCCTGTAAAGCACGCTGTGGACGTGAACGCCACTCCTGTCATTTGACTGTGCTATATATTTTATGATACGCTCATATTTTATGCGTCTGCAAGCGGAATTTTTGAATAGAAAAATTGAAGACAGCCGTGTGGAAATCCTACCCGTTACCCCATACAAACTTTGCCTCCTACAGGCCCATCACCATACCGCACCATACCGCACCACACCGCACA